AATTCAAGGTGTTTGATCACATGTTACGGATGAGTTCGGGAGGTTTAAATGTACCTTAGAGTATTGGAAACAATCATAAAACATAGGTACAATACCAAGGAACATGCATAGAAATGGGGAATGAATGGGAAAACCTGGCGCTCTGAGAGGCGCGGAGCGCCAGACCAAAAAACTTCAGAGGAGGCCTGCTGGCGTACTGAGAGGTGCGCCATCCCAAGGGGGAAACTTCAGAACCCCTTTTGGGGCGCGCTGGCAGGCACGACGCGCCAACCCCCTTGCCCAGAAACTCGACTTTTCTTCCTCTTTTCCCAACTCTAAACCACCCTAACTCCAAAGGTTTCAACTCCAACCACTAAGGATCATCAAAATCCCTCAACATACAAGAGATTTAACTCAAAACCACAACAAAAAACGTGCCTAAAACAACAAGGGACTTCAACAACACCAACAACAACATCAACAACACAACCAACAACTTCAACAACACAACCAATCCTTCTTTGACAATAAAACGAGTTTGGAGGGTGGGGGAAAGAAACAACCCTCTCCTATGGACTCACATACCTTAATAGGGATCACCCCCGACGATATCCACGACGGAACTTGCTTGATCTCCTTGCTGCTTCTTCTCTTTCTCCTCTTCTTCTCCTCTTCACTCTCAAGCCCTAGCTCTCACTCTTTTAAAATGGGACAAAATGATCCAAAATAAGCCTAACACCACAATATAACCTCAAAAGAAATGGCTAGGGAAAAAGACCAAACTGCCCTTAAAATTTCCGGACGGATTTCCTGCCAACTGCCCAACTTTTAAAGATCATAACTCACTCATACGAACTCGGAATCGAGCAAACTCGGTGGCGTTGGAAAGATCATTCCACGAAATTTGCAACCATAACTGGAATTACACCTAAATCATCCTGATCTAGAAGTTATGACCGCTCAAAGTTGGCCAAAAACTCACCTTTTTCCATACTTAGCCAAATTTCCAGATTTTTAAATCTTTCCAAAAATGACTATTTCCAATTCTAAGTCTCTTCATAGTTATTTCAAATTGCCGGATGTTACATAATGATCTTGGTTACCACAATAAATTGGATGTTAATAACATGTTGGATGAGTGTAAATGATACATGTTCATAGGTCCAAAACTAGAAGAAATTGTACATACCATTAGAAAAAAACAATGTTGATGATAAAGTTGAAGATGATACAATACCTTTGAAACCAGTCACGCATAAGAAAACATTTATCACATCTAGAATTCTACACAATTTTATGGTGCAGTTTGAAAAGACAACACCGAATGAAATGTTTGAATGCAATAAGAAAAGTCAGTGATGACCTTCAACCAGATTTAAATTTTAACAAAAAACAGAATCATATTTCACTATATTGTCTTAGATATATTTGCACTTTTAAAGAATTATTAATTTATAATATTAATGAGACCATATATTTATGTAGGGGTCTTCTAAAAATATATTATCTTATCAAAATAGGTGATTTTTTCCATTGGCTCAAGTTGAAATCAGAGAAAAATATTATCTTAAAGAAATTATTAATTAATCGAGTATTAATTTAGTGAAATTTTACGATATAAGCTAAATATTTGTTATTCCGCCTGATTTTCCCTAAAGATAATCCCAAAACTAGAACACATGAATGAGCTCACATAAATTATTGCAACTAGATTTCAAATTTAAAATCTTCATAATTTTACTTTCATTCTTCAATGCTAGGGCCACATCGAGATAAAAGTGTGAATACTTTTCGTACGAAGTATTTTTCTGTTAAATAAGTTTTATGTTATGTGACGTAAATTTATTAAATTATTAGCGACCCAATAAATTAATTAAATATATTAAATACCATGTTGAAAAAAAAACACTCACCTGGTTTCATATATTCTTCTTGGAAATATTATATATTTCTTGTCCCAATATGATTGTCTAACTTATTGTTTTGTTTTATCCCACGAAACGTGTATTTTTCTATATATAGTATGTTTTTTAATTTTAATATCCTACACGACAATTTTAAAATCGGAAGATTTAAAAAGACTACATTTTTAAATCAGGACAATAACATTCAAAAATCTTTTATTTCTAAAATTTCATGTTCAGTCACACTAATATATAAGACACTTAAATTGAAACGGAGGGAATAATTAAAACAACTACTCATACTAAAAACCAAAATTATTTTATAAAGGAATACTTTTTGTGTGATTTAAAAAAAATGTAATAATCTAATTATGGTTCACCTTCTACTAGACTACTACACATGCATATGTATGTTCGTGATTGCTCTATGAGAAATTTAGAGAAAAAGTATACCAAAAATGATTTTCCCAGAAAGTTGAGCCTCGATCGTGTCATATCATAGATATAATTAATGCAAATTAACAATGATGAAAATCATTCTTAACTTGAAGATGGCACAAATTATTATGGTTTGCCTTCTTTTTTTCCCTTGGAATTTATATTAAAAAAAAGGTAAACATTATATTCTAGTGCTCCCTCCGTTCACTTTTATTTGTCATATTGCATTTTTCAAAAATCAATTTGACTAATTTTTAAAGTTAAATTAGATTACATTAATTCGATACTTTAAACAAAAAATTTAGATATTCAAAAACTATATGAAAAGTACTATAAGTTACAATTTTTTGCATATCAATATGATGAAAAAATACATCTTAAAATGTTAGTCAAAATTCTTATAGTTTGACTATAAAAATAGAAACCATGACAAACAATAATGGACGGAGGGAGTAGTATCCATATGTCCAAGAGCTCATAATAACAACTTCCCTTTTTAACTTTTTAATGTATTTTTAAAAACAATAGCACGTTAAGAATCCATGATCCCTACCTGTTTATAACTTCACAAAATAAAAATAATATGGACCTATTGAATATATATACTTGTGCAAAAAAAGTACTTCCTATGTTTACTTTTACTTGTGCAATATTTCAAAAATAAATTTCACATGTACTTATAAGTTTTAACATATCAAGATGTTAACCTACTCGGTCTAGATTTTACTTACTTTTCTTTTAAACTTCTCCTAAGTGAACCAGGTTGCCTAACGTGTTTCAATTACGAAGTAAAGACAATAAAATAAGAACACAGTATTTTACGTGGAAACACAATGCTCACAAAGGTGTAAAAATCACGACTTGTTCCTCAACAGGATTTACCCCAACTTCACTAAATAAATGAGCCTCAACAACCAACGAGATCACAAGAGTTAAGTAACCTAACGATTAATCAACTAATCTCTATTCTAGCACAAACCTCCAAGGTGTGTGTTCCCAGTGTCTTCGAGTTGCCCTCAACTTGAAGACTAAGATCCTAGATTCAGTTTATAAATCACTGAACTAACAATACAATAAACTCATAAACACTAAGATACTTTCTAGAGTCTGTTCTTCAATGTTCTCCGTTCAACAGCACCTTAAAAGTTAATCACTTGATTGCTTATTGTTTTGTAAGTGCATGAGGAATATGGACACATCTCCTCCTATTTATGCTTTTGCTATCAGAAGTCTTCTACTCCTATTCAGACTCTTCCTTCGTTCAACCACTCTATTTCATTTAGAGTTTTACTTGCAATAAAACTCCTTTCTGAAATAGAAGTCTTCTTTGAAAACCAAGGTTTGAGATTACTTTGCCAACGTGTTCCTTGCATTTCGTTAGTTATCAAAACAATGCTTATCCCAATACAAGAAAAGACAATTATTTGAGTTCAAAAGAATCGAAACCCATAGAATATATATGGCGTAACTCGTTTAATTGCTACCAATAATAATAAAGAATATTGAAAGCAACAAGAGAAGAAGGCATCAATCTTGTCCGTGAAAACAAAGGAACTGATCCCATGAAAAGTATAGCAAGTGTAGGTAGGAAAATCTTTATGATGGTAGAGGCACAAGTATGACTTGGTGTAAGGAATTACTTTTTAATAAAAAATGTGTGGGTCTTACTTTTTTATTTACATTATTATTTCTCTCTCCAACCTTTACTTAATTTTTATGAATAAAAAGTTGTGTGAGTCCTATTCTTCTTATTTTATATTGGTATTCTCTTTCCCTTACATTTTACTCCACAGACGATCTATTCTCCATTAAAAAAAAAAAAGTTTCTTCTTTACTCTAAACTTTTAGATCAATTTTGACTAATGAATTTTATCTACTCATTCTTTTTAAATCATTCATATATTTATCTTTTTCATTTGATAATTAGCAGGTATATTATTTTTTATTTTTTAAGTTATATTGATAATTAATAGGTATATTATTTTTTATTTTTTAAGTTATATAAAAAATATGGAAGAAAATGAGAATAAAATTTTTACCTACGAATTAAAAATTTAGATAGACAATCAACTATACTATTAATATCCTCATTTGGTATGTGTATTTAACACTGATTGATCAATTTTTTCACTTATTAACTTGAACTATTTTATCAATTTGTATATTAATAAACCACTACCAAATATTTTTTTTAATAGATTTTTTGATTTTCTCTATTTTTTTGAGTTTGATTTGAATCATATTATAATAAAGTGTATTTGATTTTTTTATGACATATGTTGTAAATACCCACACTATTTTATACAATTACTTAATTCAATTCATATAATTTTTTTCGAATGAGGGAACAATCCCTGACTAAAGCTCCATGTATTGCTTGGCTTAATTTGCAACCCTTCTTGTTACACGGGTTGAGCAGATTATATTTTCATGAGCTAAGTTTGCCACCTATAACAAGATCTATTAGGCGATAAAAAAGTTTCAACCCGCTTTAATTCTATCTCAAAATATTAAATTGTCACATCTCAACTAGTCCTCAAGTGTTATGCATGTGTTAGGTGGCGCCTCTCAAGATTGTTACACAACTCAGTAGCCTTGTAATATATACCACGTATGAGAATTCGGTAACTTTATGTTATACGAACAAAATTCTGAAGCAAAACCGAAGGCACAGTCGATAATTATGAACAAATTGGCAAAGTGCACCTGATCACTTTATACTATGAAGTTATACTCCATCCAAAAGTCTTTCAACAATGTTGCATAATGTGACCTCATTCAACCAAAATCACAACAGCATATCTTGGATAGATTAACGAAGTATGAATGTTCACCCAAGCAGCATATGCAAGTATTCATGTTCACCATTTACCAGCAATTAGCAAATTAAAAACGCACCACACATCATGAGTATCGCTCGATTGGATCTGAGTTTACAAAGCGAAGCACTTATGAATTATAAAATGTGACATCCCCATTTCCCAGAGTCACTTTGAACATGCTCTAAATGATCTCTCAACACACGCATATCATCCTCAAATTTCGCGTGAGCTGCTTCAGATTTCTGTTTTTCTGCTATCCTATCAGCACGGTCAGTAGCCCACTGTTCTAAATATGTATGTGTAATCTCCTTTAGCATCGATGTAACCTGTCGATAAAGAAAATATATGATCAAATTCATTGAGAATGATAACTTGCTCCACTAGAAAAAACTTGCACAATCAACATTTCTAATCAGAATCGTCTCAATAAACTCATGATTCTATTGTAGTGTTCCAAAGCATGTTAGGCAAGGACTATTTCTTATGAAAGACAACGAAGATCAGAGACAATATAGACCAAGATTTGTAACTGCTGTCAAAAATATACTTTCAATTAGTAAAGGAGGCAAAAGTTGTTGAGCAATGATGATACTTACAGCTTCAGTCAGTTTTTTTAAATGCTCCTCGTAAGACATTACAATTGGTTCATTCAACTGATTTACCCCATCACCAATCAAGGAATTACCCTTCAATGCCTGAACAACAAGTTACATAGTAATATTCAATAAATGGGTGGAAATACAGAAATGTCACTAGTCAATTTTCTTGACAAGTAGCGGAAAATTAAGAATATACTATTAAACACATACCTTTAGTTGCTTGAACAATTCATTTGTATATGGTACTCCACTATTCTTATCTAAAACAAGAGTCACAAGCGAAAGAAGTTGGTTCAATTGTTCTTCTTTCTTCTTTGGATCTTTAGTCTTATTATCAAATAGCACAACTCTGTCATCACACAACTTAATTGTTTCCTGTAATGGTACATAATACAAATAATACTTCAGAACATATATATTAATTCATGAGAAGTATAAGAGGAAATGTTTCTAAACATAGCATAGTCACAGCATGAAACAAAAGGATAGGGTGCAAATGTATCCAACAAAATGATCTCTTACCTTTAAAGACTCATCACTATCTTCAAGTTCATCACCACCAGTGAAGACAACAATCATATAATCTCTAATTTTTTCACCAAAGAACTCTTGAAAGCTTTGGATGGCAGCTAGTTCTTCTCTAGAGAAGCGTGTTCGCACGGACAAAACCAAAAGAACAGCATGGATCCCATCCATGGCCAACTCCATGCATTTAACAATTTCTTTTCCTATAACTTCAGGCTCACCAGTAAAATCAAACAATCCTGAAGTTAAAAACACACGAATTAAGATTGATCCAACTTGTTTAGAAAAATTCTTTATGTAGCAAACCTTAAATTCATTATCACTTCATCAGTTATATGAACAGAAAAAGATCTGAAAGGAGTTGTATATATACCAGGGGTGTCAATGACATTAATCATCTAGTCGAGTACTCTTAAGTTCACAAGTATGGAATTGCCTGTGGCACTTTTGCCGTTACCCGTTCTACCAAGCAGGACTAGTGTCTGTTTTTCATTAGTAGTAACTTCCCAATCATAAGCAACTGCACTTCCACCCATTTTACCTAACTGAAATCAATGAACCTACAACAACAGGACAGGAACAGAGTAAAGGATGACATGGCAGAGTAAAACATGTAGTTGATGAAATACAGTGGAAGAAATCATGTTATCACACTAATGAATTAAGCCAAATTAGAATAATGATTTTGCTGACCTTGACAGAGAGAGCTGTAGTGTGTAATACAGAGAGTTTGAGCAATCCTGATATGAGTATAAATAAAGTTTTTTTATTTGGGAAAATTAAAGACTAAAGAGTGCATGGGGCTTTTCATTCTCCAACAGCAGCTTTAATTCAACCTTGGGACACTTAATAGTTGAGCTTTTGAGCTACTCATGGCGATCTCAAAAGGTAATTAGAGGTAAAGAGGACTGACGTTTTTAGCTTAAACTGATCAGTTTCCTAGAAATTAAGAGATATTCTTACTAATTCATCATTAATTAGAGGTAACTGGTTCAGAATTAGTTGGGATTTTAAGCACGTTCATTCGTTTTATTCAATTCTCAAAAACTAAATTTTACAGCATGCGAAGTTCAGGCGTTTTATGTGACACACTCCGTGACTCCACGCAGTTGAGGCGCATGGGAGGTATTTGAATGCCACGTAAGCTAAAAAGGTGAACAAAATTATAAAAAAGAGAAGTTCAGGAGGTAATAGGACCTTAGTTTAGTTATCCCTGAAATTTCAGTCATAGTCTAGAGGATACTTGTACCTCATCCCTTTTTATTTTATTGTACTAAAATCATTTAACAGTCATTTTTAACATAAAATTTACTCAGCTTTGCCTGAATGTGACTATAAACTAATATTAATAGAAAAACAAATTATTGCAATAACTCGGATATGTTCAAGATCGAATTAGATTTGGTCAACCAATTAATGTGGCTTGCGAGATACAACAAACTATTAGGAAATAATTGAGTTAGCTTTAGCTATGAGTGCAACAGACTGTCAAACGAGAGGAATGGAAGTTGGTTGACAAAGGAGCTCTATAAGTGTTCTGGTTAAGGAGTGTAGCAGCAACTTTGTGACTACATTGGCAGAATGACTACAAGATCTCACCATGCTCAAGGGTAAATAGAAGTTCTGATAGCATAATCTAACAGACAAAATTCTAATAGCAAAACAAAACACACAGTACCATAAACTTGGATAAATATATTCGGCAAAAGATAAAGGTTCTCAACCACATTAGGGAAGATGGTAGAAAAGAGTGAGTGCAGAACATAACCAACGTATGAATCATAGTCAATTTTACAAGAACATAGCACTTCATAAAATACGACACATGCCAGCAGAAGATTCCAATTTTCTTTCTTGGAGTTTGTCAGCCACCATTGGACGTTGTCTGTATCTATATATATCCCTCATCAGTTGCCTCTTATTTTCCAAGTTCATTAGAGCTGCTTCTGCACTTTTTTCAGCTCGTTTGCCAATTCTGCTTCAAGATGCCTCATCCCCCTCAGGTTTGATTCAACCTGTTAAATACCAAAAGGCATTTTGTCACAATCACACATCCATGAGGCTGATCATTAGTAGAGCTAAGGGGTACAACAGGGTTCATCCGAATCCCCTTCGACTGAAAATTATACAGTATAATAAAAGGTCAAAATTATTACGTTTATGACTGAGGCTCGTCAACTTTTCTAGAGACAAGACTATATATGACTGATCAACTTGGTTTGTAAATGGAACAATCAGGTGCGTAGTTCATATTAAACCATAATGTACTGGTCCCGCACAACAAATCTAGATTTAGATACAAATTAATTTATATTTGGATACAACAATGTTATTGAATTAATATGATTTACTCTGCACAGGATAAAGTTTATGATTTTTGAAATGAGTCAGAGAAACAAATAAAATCACCGTTCCCTTTTCTTGAAAATAAGTTCTAATGAATAATAAAGGTTAATTACAATACCTTTAGTTCCTTGAACAAGTATGTTGTATATGGTTTTCCACCATTCTTTTCCACAACCAAATTCACATGTAAAAGAAGATTTCTTAATTGGTCAGCTTTCTTCAATGGATCATGAGTCTTATTGTCGAAAAGTACTTGTCTATTTCCACATTGTTTGAGAGCTTCCTGTAATGGTAGTACAAATAATTAATTAAAATGGATCAACTTTCTTAATCACGAGCATGCAATTTTAATATTTTATCTAAGAAAGTAGGATTTGCAGTTTAACTTTACACCATATCCAATCATAATGCATATCCAGATTACCACAGTAAAACAAGATGCAGCAATCATATGTGCATTAAATTAGAACTAGCAAGTTCAAAATGAATGTAATCCGATGTTATTATATATAGTACAGAAATCTTCCTAGAGACAAAGAAATTTGGCTTTACTTGTATACATACCAGGGGTATCAATTACGTTAAGTATGTTTCCGTCTTGTAATTGAGTAGTGTGAAGCTGGCAAGCAGTTGTAACACAAGAAGAGCAATGCATCGATTTGAAAGCCTTCGTTCCAAGAATGCTATTGCCTGTTGCACTTTTTCCATCACCTGTAAGTAGTGTCCGGTCTCCATTTATAGAAATTTCACAATCATCAGTGATCATTTTATCTTTTTGAATCAAATTACCTACACCAAAACTACATGGCTGAATCAGAGTAGTAATAAAAAAAACAGTAGAGTCCTAAATGAGTTTTAACTCAACCTTTTATATAATTCGCTATCAGAAAACACATTAGGATCTTTTCATTGATAGATTAAATAAAGGCTACTATAAATTAAACATGAAAGTGAAATAGTAATATTGATTAAGATGACAAAAATATGATTAATTCTTACATATTTTATGATTGAAAAAAGAACACATATCAGTCATCTCCATGAAATCATGTTAAAAACAAACAGGGTATATACTAAAAATAAAGAAGACTAAGAGAATGAAATATTGAGGAAAAATTACTGTACCTTTTTCTGGTAGATTGAATGACTGATGAGGATTAAAATTCCTAATAAAGAAACGATTGCTATGCCATTTGTTGATAGGACGATTGGACCCTTCTCTTTATCCAAGTGCGTAATACTAATCCTTGATTAATATGCAAGGGTATGTTTGTCATTTAACAGAATCTTCCATGACTTCTCATTTTCCCAATATTTTCACATACGATTTACTAAGACAACTTCCTGTCTGCCTAATAATTTGGATAACTGAAGCATCAAGCATGAACCACTCCAAATTTTAGGATTAAAAATCTATTCACTGACCCTACGTGAAAAGCTAGGCGCAAGATGAAATATAATAAGTACTCCCTCTGTTACTAATTAAGTAATTAGGGACAACTAAAAAATAAAAAGTGGACAAGTAATTTGAGACAGAGGGAGTAAGAATTTACATGCCTAAGATCATCTACATACAGTACGGCCCATCCCTGGAGATGTTTAGTGCTTCGGCTACCCTTAAGATCGTTCCTCCATACACATTTCAGTCAGAGATTTGCCAACACAGATTCGCGGGAAATTCAGATTAGATAGGCAACATTTCCCAAGCTTTAAAATCAGACAATTTAAAAAAATATCTTTGTATATGAAAGAATTTATTACTATTTTTTTTTTAAATATAGCAAATACTTTTGTCACATCAGCTTTTAGGTTGATTCTAATTTTAAAAAGTATAGGTAGTCAACATGGGCATAGATATAGTGTCCAATATTCTTCGTCAAAAAATTACATTGGATATATATGTCAATTTGATAACTGATAAGAAAACGAAGGAACATCACAGCAAACAATATAGCAACATACAAAAACATCAATCAATCTCACATTACAAACAAGCATAAATACTTTTCACATTACACAAGTTATCATGTGTTGGTGTTGCTGTTGACATTATCAATTCATCCTCAGCCTCCATTAATGATATTAATTCTAAAGAGAAGAGTAGAGGAGAAGTGGAGGTAATGGCGGCAGAAACGATGAACAAGGATCCTAAGTCTCATTTTCAAATATCACTAGCTGTTTTGGATTTGCCTACAAACAAGACACCTGGCATTGTCACATCCGTTAGATCATCTTGTCCTGGATATAATCCTCTCCACACATTAGAAACAATAAAGGAAGAGGTCACGTGATCAGCAAATACAATTTGGTTAGTTTGTTAGATTTTAGTCCAATTAGAGATAGACAAGTGTATAGGAATATTCTTTTGCTTCTTTGTTATTTTTCCTATATATAGTTGTACATATTGAGAAGAGAGATACACAGAGAAAATTTTCTCCATTCTGCTTCTTTACAGTTTGTAATTCTTCAGTTGCAGAGAGTTCGCAAACATAAACTCAATTTGATACCAAGTTCACAAAAAAGAAGCGAATCTGACTTATAAAAATGTGACATTTACCACCATGGTTGGCGTTCAGAAGATCAATTTTTTTTTTTATTCTCCTTTTGAGAACTTTCCAAGCGTTTTCTTAACTCACACATTTCACCCTCTAAATTTGCTTGAGCTTCTTTAGCTTTATGTTCTGCTGCTATTCTATTCGGTAGCCAATTGTGTTAAAAGTTCATGCATGATTTCCATCAGTTTCGTCGTAAGCTGCCAAACGTGTAAATATAGGATCAAAGGCATTATCTAGCTATTAGATCAAACGCAAAAAAGCTAGAAAATAAAACACGATATTGAATCAGATGTTTCTAATCAGGATATTCTCAATAAACTCAACAGCAAAGATTATCTTCGAGGAAAATTCGATTGTGATGTGCCAGAACACTCAAACAACTGTGATGTGACAAAAGATTCAAGCAACCTCACAGTTGACTGTTATGATCTCTAGTTTGAGAACACTACATTTACTAGACAGGATCTTCAAAAACAAGTTATGCAAGAAATATTTATTGGAAAGATGCTATAAAGAGCACACTACAACAAATCAAGAATTATGCAACAATTATTTATGATAATAGAATATGAGTATTTATAACCAACACTCTATAAATATATATATGCCGCTAGAGGCTTTAGCGACTCTGGATG